CCTGAGGCCAGGTGTAATCCCTGCACAGAGGAAGCAGAGATGCCCTCAGCCAACCACTGATCAGCCTTATAATGGTTCAAGTATTATGAGTGATACAACCAGAGGGAAAATTCCTCCAATCCAGGCTAAAGCTTTCTGTACACAGGCTGGCTCCAGAGAGGACTGAGTGTAGTTGTTGGATTTCTCCCTGGCTCCTCTCCTGGTCTGAGTTGGATTGTCTTAATTGTCTCTAATGACTAAAACTACTTGCTTCATTAGCTCTACGTTAGCTCTATTAGGGAGGAATGGAGCTGAGGAGGAGACGGTAATTGAGGGTGTTAATGAAGGCAACATGATAAGTGCCAAGCTGAAAGTAAAAGAAAAGTGTGACGCTTTTGCCCTTGACAGTTTGGTGGGGTGTTTTGTTCCAAAACAACCTCAGATAAATTACAATGAAAGAAAAATATGCATTTCTTAGTGCCACATTTATTAATGCACTGGACAGTTGGAGCAATTAATTCAAATGTTGGTGTCAGCTGAGGGGTCAAAAGGCTCACATTAGGGACCGGAAATGGTATGATCCACTGCAGGGGTCTTTAAGGTGTGTGTGTGCGATATTGTATTCTTCAGGGCATAAATGTTGCCTCCGTTCAAAGTAATTTACAACCTTAAAACATTTGTTGTTGCTTCTGGGGAGCTCAAGTCCCCCCTGGTGGAGCTAACCCCATCTGACTTCAACACTGTAGCTGCCAGAAACCTCCTAAATTGTCGGTCCAGAAAAGAGTACTGCCAGCAGCTTGTCCCAATACGTGAAAGACTAAAATGTAGAAGTTTCTCCACATATCCCTCAAAGCTCTGACTTAAACCCGATGAACCAGCAGTCCTCTACACCCAGCTCAGATTAGGGTCTGATTGTCCATATCAGAGCAGATACAGTGGGATTTTCAACAGTACGGAAGACGTTTTAGAGGAAGTGAAGGGATTCTGGCTCCACAGAGGAGCTTTAGCTTTGTCATCACTGTTAAGATTTGGCCTCGTGCTAATTTCTTTAGATGGAATCTGGGCAGACCTGGCCACATCCATGACAGTATTAGCAGAGGAACTAAGACAAAGGGCCTCACCTGAGGCTAACAGTATATGGGATATAAAAACCCTCTGAACTGTCATTACTCTGTGGAAAATTATGGTGTTCATTGAACTGTGACATTTGTTTCATGCAAAAAAGGGCATGTATCCCAGTAGAAAAATAGGACAAAAAGCTAATAAAAACATAAATATGTACAATAAATGAATCAAACCATAAATGTTAAAATTAATGCTCAAGTAGCACCTGAGGCCTTGTCACACTTCCTGCTCCACTACTCTCAGTCAGACAATATATGTTCTCAAAGATGAATTAGATGTTAGTATTTTATTCCATTCATACAGTGAGATAAATGTGCAACTATTATTTTTAAAGTACAGTATATTTGGGTTGTTTTTGCCTTTATGCAAAGACAGATCAGGGATATTACAATCAATATGGTACATTCCTCAACCACCAGACTACTCTGATGCCCTGAACCATAACATATTGCATGAGTCCAGTCAGACACAGGAGCACTGTTAGTCTCATTACAGCTGTTGATATATACAGTATATATATATATATACAGTATATATGTCAGAAATATTTGAGTTTTTGCAACTTGATTAGAAGATATTTCATCTTCTGTTAATATGTAAAATACCAATTAATTTAATCTAAATAAAACACTAAAGTCAAAATACACCATATGCAAACAAGAGGGTTGCTCTATATCCAAAACCAAAAGACAAAATAAAAACCTGCTATCAAGGGCTTTTAAAACAGTGAGTATCCCTGGTCAACAACTTAATAACTTATATTTTGTGATGATTTATTTATGGCAGTCATGTTTGTAAGCAACAATAAACCTAATTACTATGAAACTAGAAAGATCATTTTGGCCGGTTTGTATTAAATTATGTTCATGTGAGAGAAGGTTTATGTGACCTGATTGTTATGTGCATTTTAAAATTCACATTTGTTTTATGCAAGTGCATTTACGTGATCACAAGCGTGAATTTGGATTTTAAGTGAGAGAAGCTCGTGGTTCATTCATTTAACATAGGTGAAGCTCAGCTCAGTCAGGAAACTTCGTATGATAAATCCTAGAGTGTGTGAGATTTCTCCTCTTGTTGTGTCTCTCTCTTTTTCTTTCCCATTCTCTGCCATTTTCTTTAGTTTTTCCTCCTTTCCCCCCCAACACATAGGTGGATTAAGGCAGAGGGGCTTTTGTTTAGATAAAGCGAAGGATTAGGGAGAGATTTGCCCCCATAAAGTTGTGGGCTTGATGGGCCTTTTATCCCTGCATGTCCCTAAAGCTGTGTTGCCTCTGGATTAGGACTATACAATGGGGCCCCTTGTGCAGAGGGATCTGGGCCAGAGAGAGACAGAGAGAGGGGAGAGAAGGCAAGGGAAAGAACTGAGAGAGAGGGACTGAGACAGGGGAGAAGAGAGGAAAAGAGGAAAGAGAGAAGGGGATGGACAAGAGAAAAAGAGAGGGAATTAAACAGCTCTGAGAGGAAACTGACAGGTGGAAAACTTAGAGGATGGATTTGCTGAGGAGATCCTGAGATCTGGTCACTAATAAAAGGGATTTCAGGAGGATTCAGAGGCGTGGTGCTGACAATAAACCGCAAAATTGTAGCTGTCTGTTTAAATTCATTTATCTGATATATTTGAAAGATAACTAGGAAAGTGGCACTTACCGTGGAAGTGCTGCTAATAACGCGTCTATGGGGTGGCTTCTGGCAAATTGCTTTGTTATTCCTGTCAAAAAGGTCTCCTGCAAGAAGTCGATTTTAAACTATACATCAAAATGATTAATTGCCGTGGGATGAACAGATGCTGAAATACCCTTGAATGGTGCCAGGGAGGCTGAGGCTCGCTGAATTGCAGACCTAATGTATTCATGAAGTTACAAAAACATCATTACGAGTATTAATTAGCTATTAAAGAGCAACATTTACTGGTTGTAAAGATAGTTTTGCTCTTCATACCTCTATCAAAAACAGGGTGAGACAACAGGAGCAAGTCTAGTGTTTTCTGCTAAAAGAGGAGATGGAGAAACTGCAGAAGACTGTCCAGGTACTTTTGAGGAGAAACATTTAACAATAGCTCAAATTTCTCTGCCAAATCAAACATGTTTTATTCTAAGCTGTTCGTCGGTTGGAGGTCATTGTTGAGCCACCTTGTATTCAGCAGTGCATGGCTGGGCACAGGGGTAAGGGGAGCTGTTTCTTGGCGTTTAAACCCTTCAGAAGCTCTGGACAGCTAGTCGCTCTAAGGAGCTTTAGGTGGAGAGGCGCGGAGAAGAAACTCTTTCTCGCTTTAATTGCTTTAGAGACGGTCTTCACAAAGAGACAGTGGCCAGATTTACCTCCCGTTTAAGTTCTTATTTCCATTGGTTCACAAGTTAATCCTCTTTCTTTCTCAGACCTCGGAGAAAAACCAAATGATAGGAGCCTATAAGACGCAATGAGAGGCACACGAGAGGGAAAGACCTGGAGCCACACATGGGAAAAGTTTCTGTAAAGCAAAGACGCACCGGGGAGATGACATTTAGACCACGTCAATTACACTAATGATAATAATTTAAAAACACAATTAAAGTGCACATATCTATTTTTGTACTTAATTCAACAAATAAACGCACGTAACACTCTCACTACCAAAGCCTCGTCGGTGGTAACAATGCACCGCAAGATTTTCATTTAATGTAACAGTTCTTCTATTGCAACCTCAAAATCAATGCAATGACTTGTAATTGGTGCTTAGAATACGAGACTCTTTTATACAAACACTGCAAGTCATTTTTGATTAAAAAAGAGGCTACACAGCTTGTAAACCACCTCTGTCCTTCTCTCTCTCACTCACTCACACACACGCACACAGTCATGAGCCATGTAAACTTTATAATAAATGTCAAACTAGTGCAGCTGGGTGCCGTTGGTTTTTATGTGTGCCAAAAGAATGAACATTAATATTCTCTATTGCATGAAATCTTTTGTTTGCTATTCAGGCTTGTCAGAGTGAGAAACATGGTCAGAGATAAAACTGCGTTACAGGCCAAGCACTTTCCAAAAGAATCTTCCAGCAAAATATGCAAGCTTTACATTAAAAGGCTACTTTGCGCTGCCCTTAATTCCCTACCTAAACGGTTTTGCTCCGGGAGAAGAAATCTTCTCTAAAAACCCTTCAAGAGGAGAAGGGCATTATTGCCCTAATCCTCTTACCCGCAGTCATTTTAAGACAGGGGTTTTTGGAGGCTGAGATGGCGTCTTGTCTTCCCTATCCCATCCCAAATCCTTCCAGGCCGGGAGTCTAAAGGCAGCACCCTGGCATCTATTAGCCATCTCTCTAAAGTCCCTCTCTCCTCCAGTGTCATGGCAAAGAAGCCGAAAAGCAAACAAACTGCTTGCTTTTCCTCCAAAAACCTTAGGAGAGGCAACTGGTTTCATGCAAGAAATTTCAGGGAAGAGGATTTGAGAAACAAAAACAACATGCAGCTCTCATGTCTCTTTTTTTCTTGTTTTAATGTGATTTATTGTTTACAGTGAAATGGGAACATTTTAGTCACTTGTTTGAGCTTAGGCTAACCTGACAACTGACTAAACTAAAAATAAAATAAAATAAATTAAATCCTATGTCAGTGTTTACACATTTTCCAAAAGTGAGCCAATAAAAGCCTCGTTCCTTACACTTGGGGGATTGTTTAGCTATCAATTCCAGAAAAATAAAGCCTGCAGACAAGCACGAAGGAAACACTGTGCGTAAACTGATCATATTTGAAAACAACTCCAGAGGGTCCGTGCTCAGTCTGCCGCTGTCATCCAAGTCAACGATCTTATTCACCTGACTGACAGCACAGACAGCCAATAGGAAGCCAGCGTAAGCCCCGCGAGGCGCTCCTTAAAACCCTCCACCGGGACCTAGCTCAGCAGCAGATGGCGCGTCCCTCTTGCGCGCGAGACGAGGAGAAACCCAGCACGAGGACAGGGGAGCCACGCGCAGGTGGAGCGCGAGCGAGCGCACCTGAAGAGAAGCGGCAGACTGGTGGACTGTTTCATCGCCCTGACTTGTCTTAGAACCGGAAGGAAAATTGGGCAATAAAACGAACTGAGAGGAGCTGAAAGAGCAGAAACCCAACCTGAAGCCTGAAGAAGTCGTGGGGCTCGGATTCTCTGCGCTGTCTGTGTACGAGGTGGAGAAAGGGACGACTGACACCACAAGTGGTAGATACTTTTTAAACATTTCTTTATTCAGTAGCCTATTGCCGCTTCCCAGTCATGTTTTTAAAAATGTGCTCAAAATGCTTTAATAGTTCGCTTTTTTATCATCACTGTCTGCTTGGAATAATTAAAGCAAACTCTCCAGTGACTCTCACTCAGAATTTGTTTTGCCAAGAATCTGCAGACGCGCAGGCTACTTGTTATGCAAGTACTTCTCTTGATTTGTTGAGAAATAAATACATTTATTTGTAATTAAATACAGTGGTGTGTGACGTTTCGTGCGCATCTCAAAATGCTGTGAGAACTGAAAGTCATAATGGCGAATTTAGACACAGTCTAATGGGCTAAATTAAATAAAAATAAAAAGCTTGTAATACGCCAGGTCTTATCGAGCATCCAGAAATGACACCCCTAAAATGGGCTCCCGTCCTTCACTCCTTTCATGACCCTAGTCTCTTTTAAACTCTACCAGTTTGCCATTAAAAAGTCAGAATTAGCCGATTAGTGATGTCGAACCAAATTTACATGCGAGTTTTCTCCTCTTTAAAATTAAAACGTGTGTTTTAGGTCTGTGCACCTGTTTTACATCGATTACTGTCGCAGTGACACTTGGATCTGAAAATGGCTTAAGACACCTGATAAATGCTGACAAAAAACACGAGACACTGAAATTTTATTTTTGTTTTATTTAGCCCATTATACCTCTGAATGTCAACCTGACTTAAATATTCTTCACAACAGCAGCTCAGAGAAAAATCAAAGATGCTCCCGGTCCTCTGACACTTCACACGAGTGACACAGCAAAGAGCAGATTGTCAGGTCGCGCCCCTGAGGGCTGTTAGCAAATAACATTTTTCCTAATTTAGTCGAATCAAAGACTTGCACTGTACATGCCAATTTACATAATGACTGATAATTGAAGCGCTGAGCAGGGCTGCCAGGAGGGCCCACTGCCTGGAGCACACCGAGGCTTATGAATGACAATAAAAGCACTGACAGGCTCACAGTAATGAGCTGAATTTGATATGGACAGAAGGATAACCAGGCATGTAGTAGTATAAAGGTACACAAGATAGGTAACACTGGCAGCTTAATCACAAAATGGGGGCAGACATGCACATGAGATCAGGAAAGTCTTTCCAGCTTGGTGGAGAAAGTGAGAAAATGTTTCTGTCTCTAACTTTCAGGGCAGACAGGTAAACAGCCTATTAATCTGGAAATCGTGGGAAAGATTTATGGACATATGGAGTATGACTTTTTCGTACACGTTTGTGATTAAAGTCTATAAGATTAAAACAACTTACACCTTTAATGTCAGAGAAAACACGTAGAAATGGGGGAAAACTGAACTGAGAAAATCGTGGGCCCAGAGAACACGCGCGCACGCGCTGTGCACACGCGGGAACTCAAAGCTAACCACCCAGGCCCACTGTACGTCCGTCCGTGTCAGCGGTGATGATAAATGGAGGGCCTCGCAGTCGAAACCTATTTGCACTTCCATTAGACGAGGAGCCAAATGGGGATCAACATGCATATTTTTACCCGCGGAGAAGCCATACATCTCAGCCAAAACGTCGCCCCGGGGCGATGGGATAAGAGGCCGCCAGAGAGGGGAACGAGAGGAGGGAAGACGGGGAGGGGCGCCATTCAACCCAAATACTTGGGGGAGTAAAGTAAATGTTTAGCGAAGCACCTTCTGTCCCGGCGAATTACACTATTCCCCACTGCCCTCTGATCACATTCATCAGCCGCCGCAGCCAATTA